CTCGTGGTCCTTTGTATGGATGAACTGAAATGGAAAAAAAACAGATTAAGATTAATTTTCTCGTTAGCAATCAATGTATTAGCTCCGAATGAAAATATTGATGACATTAAGATTTCCTTTCCATGACAGAGATGAACAAAGTGAGCATCCAAGCACCTCTTTCTTTGGAAAAATGATGACCCCTCAGATCTTTTCTTGATAGAATTCTCAGCGCAATGCTTTCGGGGTCCTCTCAGGTTCGTTTCGTTTAACTCTCTATAGGTTTTCCCACTTATAGTTACTATTTTCTGAAAGAGCATTCAAGGCTATGTCCTTTGATACAGACTCTCAGAGAACGACTCACCTTCCACAACAACCATTTGCAAATTTCCTCCGTTGCCCTCATCTTCGTCTTTTTCTGCTTGAACAACAAAATGGTATCAAATTATCCAAAAGAAATATTCTTAAATGTTCACAGTACATTATCCCTTATCCAACGCTAGTTGAAAAAATTTATATTCACGATCGAGTGTGACATGTGTCACAATAAGCAGTCTAACAAAAATAAAATTGCTTTAAAAAAGCACCTTCTCCGCCAATCAACAAATGTACTTCTTCTTCTTGAGCTGCAAATATCGAACACAACAAATAAGTGACATCTACTTCAGGATAACAGTTAAACTTTGTGTGTTTATTTCATAACTGTTCCAACACATTTAAGTTAGGCTAAAGTAAAGTCAAATTCATTCTCTACCCTATTGGCCCACGAGGCGGCGAAGTTGTTCCGAGTTTCCTTTGTATACAACAATCATTCTGATTCATCGCAGGACACCCGCCTTTCCCGCCTTCTTACAATATTCGTCGAGTTTTGTTAATTAAAAAAGCCAAAAAAAATTGTGAATTACGACAAAAAAAGTAAACTGATCAACAGACAAAACCTTTTTGGGAACTCCACGTTAAAAGATCAAATGAGGCATATCCATCTTTTTAATCTAAGGACTTCATTGCGATAATAAAGACAATGTTGGGTCTTGTTTGTTGTAATACCTGCTTCAGCCGGCAGCACGTGTTCTTCCTCGTTAACTTGGCCTGCACCTAACAGAAAATGAATCAGTTGTTTCTATTTCTTTATTGCTTTTGCAACTCATTAATGGGAGTTCTTCTTCAAGTTCTTCCAATATCGTTAAGGAAAAAACAGATAAAGGTGTTACCACCTAATTTGAGTTGATTACCAGTGGTTTCGTACCGGCTCACGGTCGTTTCATACCCGGTCGATTCGTATCCAGTCAGTTGAATTGTTTAGTACCCAGCTCGGTCGTTTCGTACCAATACTAATAAAGTATACTGTTAATGTCAAGTATGTTTAAAGTAAGGTCTCTTATTTTAAATAGCGATACAACCTGTGCAAAACAAGTTTTGTTAATGTGGCATCCATTCTTACTACACGACCACCAAAAGTATATTGAATAAATAAATAAAGCTATAAAGAAAATTAAAGAATAAAAAGTTTTCTTTTTGGTCCTTCATCCATTATTTTGACATAAAACAGCTTCCTAACTAATGTATCTTGTATTCATAGATTATTCTTTTTGGTTTGTCGGGATAAATGCCAAAGATCAATTTAACAGAAGTTACCTTGCTCTGGATCTGCTTGTCCAAGTTGCACCATTTCCACCATTTCTAACATTCCATCGTCTCCCTGTTCCTGATCTACCGTGACCAATCAACATACATGTACAATAAATATTCATATTTATACATGTATACGTGTAAACTTATATATATATGTATGCTCATATAATCTAACATGCTGTGAATACTCTAAAAGTGACCTTGGATAATTTCT